TATTTATTACCTTATTACTCAGAATCCCATCACTGACTCAGTTTAAGTATTTCCGCACAGCAAATCTGGCAGCAGGTGGTGTGTGTTGCAACTGACAATGAAGTTAGCTCATTGGGGTTCTGTCAAGTACATTATGACACTAAGATATCACAATCCTTCCATGGTATAATTGTCCCTCGCGAGAACCTTCACTCAATGGATTTGGAACCAACAGTGCCCTTCTGTTCTCCTGCTATTGAGCATTGGGAGCTTTCAGCTGCTAGGTAGCTGAGCTCAGAGCATTTAAACATTCCCGAGCTCTGCTCTCAGAAAGAAAATGAATAAAAATTATTCAGACACTCACCAGAGAGTTTGTAGCAGACCTCCAGCTTCTCACGCAAAGTGTTCTCCGCTGACTAATTCAGAGACCTACAGAGCTTCTACGATGGCCTAAGCGAATCAGATGCTTGAGGTTGCACGTGCAGGATTTACAACGTAGTCTGTTTCAGATCTATTTGTCCCATTCGCAGGGAGATGGTCGCTTTAAAGTTAAAAGGGGAAGGTGCTAACAATCAGAAGGCAGACAGGGTTTTGGTGAACAAAGGGGAAGAGGATTGTAGACAGATACTTGTAGATACACACAGCACTCACATTACCAGGGGAAAAGCTGCTAATCACTACTTAGAACGTGCCTGAAACCCAAACTTTTAATCACAGCAGACGGCTCCAATCAAATTTACTATACGTGTCCTCTTAATGGGGCCACAGATCCTCAAAATTCAGCTCCCTGGCCTCCCCTCACTCTTAGCCTGAGCTCCTGGGACAAAGTAAGTTATAAAATAACCAGCTCAAGGAGGGATGAGGCTCAGAACCCCAACGCATACAGTCACTGTATGAATAGTATAGCCCAGCTTATGTCTTTGTGCCAAGAAGCCGCTATTTAAATGCTAACTTTTATGAAGTCATGTGTTTGATGTCATGCCACTAGCTTTACTGTTTAGATTCTGAATGGAAAGGCAGGATACTTGGCATACACAGTTATCTGCTCTGTTGACAATTACCTTCCCCACCCTAACTCCCAATTTCAACAGCATTGTAATCGGGGTCCTAGTGGGGACCCAACTATGGTCACTCAATTAGGGTGAACTGCAAAGAATGGGGCAGATAATCCTCATAAAACTGGTGGATATTCCAATACTTAGATTTACCAAGCCAGCACAAAACAGCTTCTTTATTACCTTACTGGTTACTCAGAAGTTCAAACACCACAGTTCCCTCAGGCCTCCATCTAGGTACACACGTCAAGTATGGTGAACATTTCTGTAAAACTTATTTCCTCATATAAAAAAAGGGTTCTACCAATCCCAAAGGATCGGACACATTACCTCCCAGGTTAATGAATATTCCAGATTTTACCCAAATACACGCTACAGCCCATTCTTATTAATTAAACTAAACTTTATTAAAAAACAAGAGAGAGTCTGGTTAAAAGTTCAATACGCATACAGACATGAGTTCAATTCATTGAGGTTCAGATTCATAGCAGAGATGGTGAGCTTTGTAGTTGCAAAGAGTTCTTTCAGAAATAGTTCATAGGCCCAATGTCCAAAATCATATTCAGGGCGTACCAGCATAATTGGGATCTCAATCTTGTGTCTCAAACTTCCCCTGATGAAGCCTAAGCAGATCTGTGATGACAGAATCAGGACCCAATGATCTTTTGTACAATTTCATGTCTTTTGACAAGTTGGAGTTCAAAAGGTAATTAGCATGACTTTGACGGAGGTCCATCACCAGTACTTAGCTGTAGAATTAACATAAGGCCATTTGCTTGTTCCTCCACCATTCAGATTATTTTCTATACATTTCAAAGAGAGATGACTACAGAGATATCCTGTGTTTAAAATTTATTTAAATGATAGGATGTTCTTTTGACTTGAACTATCAGAATACAGCACAGACGGACTGTTGATTACATCTTGACCCTACTCATACATATGTAAATACACAAAAACACAAACATTATCTCCCCATGTCTTTTGAGTTTTTGCAGGATATTTAACCCTTTCTGGCCATGCGTCACAAACATATATCCTGCTTCACTTCTTTCCCTACATGGGTGTTGTTACACTGCTGGTGTGATCCATCCAGAGCTGGATTTCCATATAGCTGACAAAGTAAGAGCCAAATTTTACTCTGACACACATTCTAAATTCAGAGCAAAGCCACGAGCTTCAGGAAGTTAGTATCACTTTGTACCAGTGTAATCGAGCGCAGGATTTGGCCATTGTTTGTAAATGCTTTGGTCTCCCTTGCAGTGAAAAGTTCTGTAAAAACGTGAGGTTATTTCTGCAAAGCACTGAGCAGTTAGCTACTGCCCAGACCGTAAAACCAGTTCCCTCTAGCTTGCCAGTAACTTTTGGTTTGGACAGTCACTGCGTCACCAGTAAGTGCAAACTTATAAAAACCCTTTAGCTACGGAAGGGGAAAATTCTTATCATTGTGCGATGTGGTCAAGGCAGCTACCAGGAGCCGGCCCTGAATACCATGTTGCTATGCTACTTAAAGACACAGCCTCTGGACTAGACAGTCAGATTCATATGGCACTACAGCTTACACCCCATTGATGGGCTACATAGCACCATGCTGACAATGAGACACCCGTGCCAGAGTTTGTGGATGGGGATTGGAGTATGTGGTCTCTCTTCTATTTAAATCTGCTCCTAAGCATATTTCCCATCATCACCATGATTCTTTCTTAAGCTCACAGCGATCAGTCAAGCCAGATATCTTCACAAGCTCCTCTTCAAACTCAGCCACGTGTCTGCCTATTTCTAGCCAAATAAAGAAAAATGTGGCCTGGAATGAAACAAAATGATATATTGGCCATGACACAGCAGCGCATCTACAGCGAAAGGAATCATCCAGCTAATGCCATACAGAGAAAGCAAGTGGGATAGCGGAGATGAATGTCACTACTTCCCCCCTCCTCTCTCTTTCTTATTGGGCAGGGTTGGTGAAAGAAGATACTCCCCTTGCAGACCATGGGGCAGCAGTGAGGTGGCCAGCCTGCCGGTAGCTTTGTAATTCCCCATTCAGCACTTGCACATATAAAAGTTCAAACTCACTCCTGAAGTTACAGCAAGTTTTGAGCTGCAGAGTATTATGGCAACTCCGCCAGGCCCCAACCCAATGGGTATAGCAGGTGGGACAAGGCTCTTTACAATACTCTCATTTAACGAGAGACTGGGATCTTTAAACCTGCCTGCTGTTGTGTAAATGCAGGCACCAAATCCTTAGGCTTACAGGCAATCAGAGGCACAGGCGGACTGCTGGAATGAGGCAAGCCACTTCTCAGTTGAACAGCAAAGGAAGGGCTAGGACAAGATACAACTCTGTTCCCATCTAATTCAATGGTAACACGCCCAGACTTGCACAGAAGCAGGAGGGGCACCCAGAAACCCAAGAGTTCCACAGGCAACATCAGAGTTGTGTGCCGAGGTGCAGTCCCTGCAGAGGGGGACGCACACAGGAAGACGCCTGCCTCTGTTGGTCAGTCTGGGAGCTGTACTGGGTATCCCATGCAGCCCTCAATGGATGGAAGCTATAAAATGGACTTCCTGAGATGGCAATAAGTGGTAAGTATTGCTCAGCCTGTCCTGGAAACATAAGAATACAGAGCCTCGTATGTTATCCACACTGCTCCTTGTCCCACAGGACTCTGCTGCTCACTACAGAGACAGGTCAGAACTAAAACAGGAGACAATACTATGAGCATAGCACCTCTGTCCTCACAATACTTATTGTTGGAGCTGCGGGTGGAGGAAAAGTCAGGAGAATTTTCTCCCCCTGAAACGCTCAGTGATTACCCAGCCAAGCAATGCACTGAGCCCTCCCTCTGTAATGTGCATTAGTATTTGCTAATATACTGATGCACTGTTCACCTCATTCTGCAACTTCAGAGCCTCTCGGTAGTTTCCTCTATCCACCCATGAATTTCACAAGACTCACTAGACACCTCCCGGCCTGTCTATGATGAAGGCAGCTACATATGGAGGCATTTCACTTTATGGACCAGGGAAGCTCTCTGCACCATTCTCCTCCACTCACAGCTCCATAACACTTGTAGAAGAGAAAATAAAATGTGACAAGTGCGACGGCTAACAATGTCCATCAATGTTCAGTGCAGGCAGATGCTGTCTGCCCTGCTCAGCACAAGAGAGACTGCCACTGCAGCATTAATGGTCACTTTTGCCATTTTGAAGCCCACTGAGCAGAAGTTTGTTCAGCTGTTTTCTCAATGTCTGAGCCTATGAAAAGGGGAGGAATTTGGTGGTTTTTAAAATAGAGCCCAAAGGGTTCTTCCCTTAGACATTGCCCTGAGATAATGGTCCAGGCAGACGGAGCTGGGGGCACCCTAGCCACTATTTGCCATTATTAGAGGGGAAATAGCCGCAAATTAGTCACACTTCATTTTTTACAAAGAACTTCATTCTAGGCACAGAATTACCTGGTGCTGCAGATTGCTGGGTAATGAAGATTCAAAGCAAATAATACCAGGGTTTCATTACAATGCAGCTGGCAGCTTTTTAAAACCTTAGCTGAAAGGAGGGGAGGCACAAGATAAGGCAGATGACACCAGGAAGCAATGAAAAAGCAGCAAGCTCCTTTCAGCCCACACTCAGATATGTCCTTTGCCCAGTGGGCCAAATCCAGCCCTCAGTTATGCTGGTGTAACACTTCAGCAAGGCTGCACCAGTGTAATACAAGACACTTTTGCTAGATGTGTCTCAAGACCACCTGCTTAAGGCGCTACCTCTCACTCCTAAGCAGCCTGTGCTTTAGGCAATTTCAACTTAAGGAAACTGGAAGACAGTCATGTGATCTAGGGAACAATCCGATAGACACAAACTCTACACCGGAGAATGTGCTGAGTCAGATTGTTAGGAGAGAATGAGCTTGTTTAATTGGAAGCACTGTGGTTTCTTTAAATTGAAAACTATATTTCAGGTTTAAATATTGCCTCAAGATATTGCCAAGTGGGTTTTGAATACAAAAGACTTACTTTTTTTCAATAAATAACAAGATTTTAAAATCATCATTCCTATGGCTGAATAAAAGTTGATTCTCCCATCTCAGAATTCTTCTCCCAATGCGCCAAGAGCCACTGGGTATCCAAAGGTCCTAGTGGCCTTCTGGAAGGGATTTTCAATACTGCACATTCTCCCTTCATCTGCAGCTTTGGCCTTCCATCAGTACGGTTCCTCCTCATCCGTGTCCTGGACAGAAAGTATTGGGAGAGCGAGATTAGGCACGAAGACATGAAACAATTCAGATGTTCAGCACAGACATGAGTTGGGCCAGTTCAGACAAGAGATTAAGTGTTTCCCAGAAGCTGCTCATTTTGAAAAAGCCAGCACTCCTGCAAAGGCCTTAGGCCTAGTGTCTCTATACGAGTCTGCAGTCAAATCCTTCTGGCATGTCACTGAGGAGCCCAGTTAAACTGGCACTGCAAGAAATTCGCGTGGAGCAGGTTTAAGAGAAGTAACAGCCAAACCTCAAGCACAAGGCACCTGCCACACCAACCCCCAAGCACTAGCTTCCTTTGAAAGCACCACTCCCTACAGAGAACTGATCCAGAACAGCTCAAGCAGCCATTTCCTTCCTGCAAAATCTCCACACGAGACTGGAGAGCCCCCAGCCTGGTGCGTTTAAAAGAAAAGCACATGCACTCAGAGTGCCTGTAAAGAGGCTTGTGGGCAGCCACACAGCACTGTTAATGCATCTAAATCCTACTGCTGAAGTCTGCCTCTGCTCCTAGCAACCCCATGCCTTCAGATCCCCAATATCTTACGTTAGTGACCATGATAATCTGGCACTTTCTCGCCTTATGGTGACCTCAGGTCATTGTTCTGACACAATAGGAGGCGCAAACGTACCTGCCTTATCAGCAAACACCTCCACTGGTTTCTCACCCCTTTCATGATCCAAGTGCAAGCAGCTTCCTTGGTTTTGCTGTGTGCGACTGATTTTACAATTGAAAACATTTTTATAATGTATTTAAAGATGAACAGAAAAACACGTCACAGCAGCACCATGTGCTGCTACATCAGCATCACTGAGATAAGGCGCCTCCTAGAGTGCTAAATATTCTGTTGTCAGCTAAGAACAACTTCTCAAATGACTGATGAAACAGTCAACATGAAATTAACAGGATTAAATCAAACTAAACTAAACTTTACTGAGCAATCAGAGGAAACTATCAGATTAATCCCTCCTTGTTTTAAAACTCTACACATTTGATCAAGCCTCTCTCATTGATCCCATCTGTCTCCATTCCTTTGCCTGCTGCCTCCAGCAAATACCACCTGCTTCAGTCCTGTCCCTGTACACAATCTCACCACTGTGTGCGAGGAAACCTTCTCCACTACTTCACCCGTCATCTGCAATAGCCTCCATCTCCCACATCAACACCAACTTTTTTCAAAAAACAAAAACTTTCTGCTTTCTCCCCATGTGCCCCTGGTTTGACCCATGGTAAGTGGAGCAGATTAGGCGACTACATGAGACAGAGACATGGCAGTGAGGGTTGTAGGCTTATTCCCCAGCCCTGTAGCACACTGGGAAGGACACGATGAGAATGCTCCCTCTAATCACGCACATCAGGGCGCGTGTACTGGGATGTAACGTGCCTTTGGCTGTGCTTGTTCAATGCAGCACGGGGAAGCTTGGATATGCTTTCCAACAAGGCAAGTGCAGAGGGTGGAAGGAGAGTTTAGAAGTTCCAGTACAATAAATTTAAAACCAAAGCCACTGCAGGTGCTAGAAGAGGTTGGTGATGAGGTGATAGCAGGTGAACAGAAATAGAAGCAATAGAAGGCACAGAAATCAGAGAGTTTAAAAAGGGTTCTGTTGTGACCAGAACAGCATGAGTGTGGAGATTTCTAGTCAAAAATACCCAAGCTAACCCAAGTCTGCATGCTACCACCTTTGGAAGAAAGTAAAATGGAGGTATGCGTTTCTGCCTCCAGCCTCTCCATCTCTGCACTGCTTACCCAGCAGAAACAGCCTACTAGCCCTACTCCACCTTTGGAGTAAAGAGACTCACCACAGTCTCTGCAGGAAAAGGGCAGCTGAGTGAGTTAAGAGGTTAAAGCACTGGCTTTTCACCACTGGAAACTTAGGGTCTGATCTGGATTAAGTCTCACGTGAAATGAATTTGGTGGGTCTCAAGCCAATCACACGCACCCAATAATGCAGCACTTTCTACCGAAAAAAGACCAGACATGGAAAGCACTGAAAGGCATCAGCTGAGCTGTGTGAGGAGCTCACACCAAGCTCTTGGGCACTATCCCTGGTTCTAGCTACTGCTCTCAGCCCTCACTCTTATGAGAGCTAACAATGATACAAACACTTACAAGAATGCTTATTTGCACTTACCACACACTGCAAACACCATGTGCCCATCCTCCCCAGGCAGGTGCCCTGCTCCGTGCGCTCAGGCCTGCAGAAAGAGCACAGTGTTAGGTCAACATGTCTCCTGCTCACGCCCCAGTACAGCCCCGAGACTGGGATTGTTTTCTAACACACCGGTCACTTTCCCAGTCCCTTTGACTAATTCATCAGAAATGCCTTCTCTGTAATTATGTTTTAACTAGCAAAGCAGAAGACCAGAATGGTAGGCTCTTTATTTCAAAGGTTTGGCCATTTGATTTAGGTTTGCCATGCAAACTCCTCCAGCTGTCTTTTCATCACACTATTAACCACAGAAATTGCTGTTTGGTTGGAAAGTTTCAGCTGCCATTAACCAAAATATTTTAGTTAAAGAGACTGTGAATTTAATTCTGACTTGACATCCCAGAAGAACAAAGTGGTGCATTTACAAGGGAGCCAGTTAGCATTAGAATAGTGGGTTTGTGATACAGACATTCGGACTGAGATCCTCCACACAGCTTACTGATCTGGACTGGGTTAAATCTGGCGATGGAGGTGAAAGGCTCTCTATCTCAACAACAGTTTAGCTCAGCTGCCCCACAAAGAGGATGTACAGCACACATTTCACTCAGTTACTTTCCCACAAGGTGTTTTCAGAGACTGACTACCAGCTGACTTGTGCCCATTGACAATGAAGTCTCACTGACAGAACCCCAGATGTTGTGGGTTATGAGATGTGGGAGGACAGAAAAAACCCAACCACGACCCCAGGCCAGAGGGGAAATGGGGATTAGGTTCAATGTAAAACTTACTCATCAGAGACTTCAATGGATGATTTCTTATAGCCAGATTTTTTTCTATGCTTTAGGACTCCAAATTTCCTTCCCATCCTCACCAGCAGCAGAATGACCACAATAGCAGAGGGGAGGAACACTAAGATGGATAGCAACACTGCTGAAGTTAGCTGGAAAGAAAAGCCTGCAGGAGAGAGAGAGAGAGAATAGCAGTAGAATATGGCTTTGTTTTATCTCTATGGCAAATATTAATCCAGCACACGGTATCCTGGCCTTTTTTATAAAAAGCACAGGGCTTGCTGGGGTTAAAGGAACTTGTGACAAAGTCCTGTCAGGGAACTCAAATTCACAACTAGACTCCTCCCTGGAGGGGAGGACAAAGATTACATCTATCTGGCTGCAGTGAAGGAGCACAAGTTAGGCTATGTCTACACTGGCAACTGAACGACAAAACTTTTGTCTTTCAGAGGTGTTAAAAAAAAAAACACCCCCGAAAGACAAAAAAGTTTTGCCAACGACAAGCACCGGTGTGAACAGCACTTTGTCAGCAGGAGCACTCTCCTGCCAACAAAGCTAACCCCGTTCGTTGGGGTTAGAAGGTTTTGTCGGCAGGAGAGCCAACAAACAGCAGGTACACGGTGTGACTTTTAGCAGCACGGCTGTAGCAACACAGCTGTGTCGCTCAAAGCTGTGTAGTGTAGACACAGCCTGAGAGCAGCACATTCAAAGCCAAGTGAGAGGGGAGTCGCATCAAACTGATGGGCACACCCAATCCGCAAGCCCAGGGACCGCTCTCTCATACAGGGTAGATGAGGCATTTGCCTAAGGCAGCTATTCGCTAATGTTTGTGAAATGTCACGTCATTGTTAAGATATCAGCTCCCAGCAATGCTACCTGATTAATGCTGTACCCTCTTAGGTGGGAATCCGGGACTGCCAATCTTGTGTACTGAGCCTCTGCTGAGGGATGCCCATCACCTCCACTACCACCTCCTGTTCCACTGTACATGCGCTGACCCCCAATGAAGTTTGGGATGATCTGAACTCCTAAGACAGACACCAGGGTAGATGCCTGCTCTTAGGAAAATGCTGTTGGCATCTTCTGTCTCCATGCAGGACAGACACAACCTTAAGTTTTCACCAAAAGAACACACACCAAACTGCATGGATCTCAATTTATCTAGCTGGAAAGGAGAGGGGCTGAGCTGATGCCCTGGTTGCATTTAAATCTGTAGTTCCAGGAAAGCTAGACACCAGATCTGGTGCTTAGACTCCAAAGATTTCTGGCAAAACAGGAATGCACTCATGATAAATAAATAGGGAGAATATTGCCATGCTAGAGACTTACCCCTGTGTGTGACTGTCAGCTTGGTCTGGGGGATGTTGTGGTGCACATCCGGGGGATTCTTCACAGCACAGGTGAACGTCCCATTGTCATTCATCGTCAAGTTTTGGATAGCAATGGAGGCATCACCCTGGGCAACGTTCCCAACCCATGAAATTCTGTCTCTGAATGTTCCCACTACAGCTGGGTATGCAACAGACTGATAATGAAAAATCTGAAGGGGGAAGACAATAATTGTTCTAATAAGTCATTTTCCAAAAAGGAGAGAGAAAAAAAACCTCCTTTCGGAGAGTAACGGAATCAAAATGAACTACCCTTTCACAGACATCCCACCTCAGATACACCAGGGGCTCACAAACCCACTATGCTAGGCACCATTGCACCAGCTTTTCAGATCTTTTTTATATTTTTACCCAGGGGGAAAAGAGGGTGGAAATGCATGTCAGGGTCTTCCATATCCATGATACAGCCCCGAGGATCTCCCTTCTTGCCCACCAGTCTCCAGGGCTCGCATCAGAGTCACCATCATCTTTCTGACTATGGAGGCTCTAAGACAGAAGAGGATGCTCTGGTGCAGTGGTTCTCAACCTGCGGCCCGCTTACAGCCCAATCAGCACACAGCTGTGGCCCATGTGACATCCTCAGGGCCATACAAGTAATATATATTTTGTGTGGATGTGGCCCACATAACACATAGAAAGCTGCATATGCGGCCCACAATGGTAAACAGGTTGAGAACCACTGCTCTGGAGGTTAGGGTACTATCCTGCGACTATGTGACCGTGGGCAAGTCACTTAGTTATTCTCTGCCTCGGTTTCCCATCTGTCAAGTAGGGATAATAGCACATCACTACCTCCCAGGGGTGTTGTGGGGATAAATACATTAAGATTGTGAGACACGATGGTAATACCTTAGACAGACAGCTTTTCAAGATAATCAGTTAAAGCAACAAGGTGGGTGAGGTAATCTTTTACTGAACCAACTGTCGTTGGTGAGAGACACAAGCTTTCAAGCCACACAGAGCTCTTCTGCAGGTCACGGCTACAAATACACCGCATGCAATCAGTTCCTTGGTCATCTGGCAGTGCCAGTCCGGAATTGTAGTGCTCCCTCCCCAGCTCCTTGTAAAGCACTGGAACCTTGTCACAGGCATGGCATGACTGAATGCTGCAGCTCTGCAGATCTGACTTTAGTTCACAAAATAGTGCTAACTTCCCTTCAGTTCACTCCTGCTGGCTGGCCACAGGGGACTTACCAGAGCCTATTTCACACAGACACCACCACATCCTTCCAGCTGCAACCTACCATTCCCAGGAGCTCAACCTCAGCTGAGCAGAGGAACTCACTGATGATTTACACAGAGAATGAGACATTTATGAATGATTTTACATCTATGCACCTGTAACTGGATTTCATACCACTGCCAACAATAACTGGTAAGAGCCCATAAATCCTTTAGGACCATCTGTCATCATCAGTGCCTGCAGACTGGCTCTCCACACACACCACTGCCACTCCAAGATAAGTTATACCTGCATTCTGCCACATGGCAAAGCTGCCACGGTATGTTCTGCACGGGAAGCTTTCCAAACCACATGATCCCAAGTGCATTTATATGGATGCCTAGTTTGCAATGGGACAGTCATCTCTTAGGGTTCTAATACTTTGTATTTACATGGTACCATTCGGCCCAAAGGATTTTAAAGAAATTCAACCTATGTATATACAGCAGCACTGAAATGCAGCCACCTCTGGAGTGGAAGGTGACAACCAAAGAGCCCACCACACAGCAGAGAAGCACACTGAGACGAACACTGACTTTTTACACAAAATGCCACGGGATCTTCAACCTTCCCACAGAGTTCTGCCCAGCTGCAAGAAAGATTCTTTGGGACACTCATCTGCAAGCACTTACTGTCTCCATACGACCACCTGTGAGGGGCTGGTAACTCCAGTCTACAGTCAGCTTCTGAGTTATGGGAGAGACGGATCTGAATGAGCATTTCAGGGTCACCTGTTCATCAACAAAAGCTTGTACTTCAGGATCCACTTTAATTTCCAATGAAAGAGCATTGCAGACACCTGGTGAAATGAGCCCCAAAGAGAAAGATTAGATGGGAATTTTTGTAAGGGACACAAGTGAGATAGCAAAGCCGCCCCAGTGAAGAACTGATGGCTGTCTGAATCTGCACATACATCTATCCCATCTCCTTGCACCCACCCAACCCCTATTGTTCGGAGGTCACTGCCAAAGCCCTCCATTACCCAGTCATGGGGATAAACAAGCCCATGGGATAAACAAGTTGGTAATCGAAAACAACTGGACCAGAGAGAAGGTCCAAAGTGCCAACTTCAGGGCTCTTCTTCTCATTAATAAATCACCACACAGTCCCTCTCCTGAAGTTCTGTTCTGCATTTGCTCATGCCTGTCTTCTTTATTTTGTAAGCTGTTTGGTGCTAAAAACATGCTTCTTTTTAAGTTTGTAAAGCGCTATATAAGTTTATGGCATTACAGAAGTGTTGTGCAGTAATAAATACAAAATAGGGAGACTTGAAAACAAATTACGGTATTTTTTCCAGAAATGTAAACAAGTCTTAGTCCAACTGCCTGGACTGTAGAGCGAAGGAAGCAAAGGGAGGTGGGAAAAAGTCACAACTGTCAAGAATTGTAGCCAGGGTCTCAGAAAGTCTGATGGGGAAAAACCATTGGCAAGTGAGTTTATCAAAGGACTTCAAAAAGGGATTTGTTCCATCATCATAAAAACATAGTAAGAAGATAAGAATGGCCATACTGGCTCAGAATGATGGTCCATGCAGCCCAGTATCCTGTCTTCTGACAGTGGCCAATGCCAGGTACTTCAGAGGGAATGAACAGAACAGGCAATGATCAAGTGATCCATCCCCTGTCGTCCACTCCTAGCTTCTGGCACTCAGAGGCTAGGGACACTCAGAGCATGGGGTTGCATCCCTGACCATCCGGGCTAATAGCCATTGATGGACCTATCCTCCATGAATTTATCTAGTTCTTTTTTGAACCCTCTTATACTTTTGGCCTTCACAGCATTCTCAGTGATGAGTTCCACAGGTTAACTGTTGTGTGAAGAAGTAACGAGTCATTCAGAAGACACTAAAAATTAACACTTAGACCATGTAGCACTTTTCACTCAAACATCTCTAAGAGCTTTACAAAGGTGAATGAGAATCACTCAGCACAGTTTACAGATGAGGAAACTGAGGCCCAGACAGGTGAAGTGATTTGCCCAAACAAGTCATTGACAGAGCCAAGGATCGAACCCAGATGGCCTGACCCCCATTCTAGTGCTCCCCGTCCCCATATCCATTTCTATTGCTACAAATATCTCTAAATGATGGAGTGTCTAGAGCCAGGGCCCAAACACAGGCATCAGGGGAGGCTCTGCTCCCTAGACAAAGCCTGGACATTTCAACGGCACTTATGCACCATTTCAAATGCTAAGGCTGCACCTAATGCAAGGCCCTCACTCGCCCCCACCTACTGCTGATGGATCCAAGCTGGGAACTGGTGTGTCCGGGTGACTCAGAAAGCTTGCCGGGGTGCAGCTGGGTTACTGTTACTCAATCACTTCTGGGACACCCCATCTGAAGCTACTTACGCTCCCCACCCCAAATGTCTTCCTCTTCTCTTTAACTGCCCCAAAACCCTCTCTGCCCCTAAAACACTGGGGGGGGGGGGGGGAGACTAGTCACACCCTCCACCAAAACAGAACCCCCTAAAACAGTGCCCCTAAATGTACAAACCACAGACGTACCCTCCATCAGGCTGCCCCTAAACACGCTGCCAACCCCACAAGTAATCTTCTTTCGATTAATCCCACAGACACACCCCTCCCAAACAGGGCCGGCTTTAAGAAGTGCGGGGCCCAATTCGAACAGTTTGGACGGGGCCCCGGCAGGGATAACTAAAAAAAAAACCACGTAAAAAAAATACGTGGGGCTTATACTCACCGGGCGGCGCTCCTAGTCTTCGGCGGTGGGTCCTTCACTCGCTCCGGGTCTTCGGCGGCACTGAAGGACCTGCCGCCGAAGTGCTGCCCAAGACCCGGAGCACCGCCAGGTGAGTAAAAATTAAAAAGGAGCCTCTAGCCAGGGAAGGGATTCTCGGCCACTTCTCTCCCTGCCACTGGGCGCGGGGCCCTCTTAGGCGTGGGGCCCGATTCGGGGGAATTGGCGGAATTGGCCTAAAGCCGGCCCTGCTCCCAAATTCCTGCATCCCTCAGCCAAACCCCCTTCTTCATCTGTCCCACAAGTCCAGCTCCTGCCCCCATGTCTGGTCTTTCCACCTCCAACCTGGACCACCAGACACACCCCCAACCCCACAGGTCGCCATGGCCCTCCATCCACAACCCCCAGTCCTACAGCCCTCCCCAGTTCCACCCCATCATCCCCAATCTCACAGACCCACCTCTGGCCCCGACTCCTCCTCCCCCCCCCCACCCCTCGGCCCCCCATCCCCCCAGACCCACCCCCAGTTCCCCACCGCCCCATCACCCCCGCCCCGCAGACCCGCCCCGGGCCCCCCGCCCATCACCCCAGCCGGAAGCGGAGGGCCCCGACCCCGGCCCGCGCTCACCGTACAGAAGCAGGAGCCCCAGCCGGAGGAGGCCGCCGGCCGCCCAGGCCCGCATCCCGGCAGCCGCTCGCTGTGTTTACGGCGCAGCCAGCACGGGCCTACCTGGCGGAAGGCAGGGCAAGGCCGAGGTGAGGCCAGACCGGAAGTTAGGCTCCCCGAAGGGCCGGGCGTGCAGGCCCAAGATGGCCGCCCTGGATGTTTCCATGGCAACGGGCCTGGCCCCAGCTCTGCCGCCTCCTTACCCAGCAGTGGCTCTTTGCGGAGGGGGCAGCAGCACCACCCACGTACAAGCCGCCGATAGTGCTGGCCAGGGGCTCCTCCACCCCAGCATGAGCACCAGGCATGTGCCCTGGGCACCCAGGGCTCTGGGCTGGTCTCTGGTAGGGACTGGGGCCAGCTGCCCCCAGCCAATAGCCTGAAGTTCGGGGGGGTGGACCTTGCGTTCTGGTTCAGGACCCATCTCCAGATGTAACACAACATTGCCTCCGAATATCATTGTCCAGCGAGACGATGTTAAATCACCAGCACACAGCACCACGCCATGATGTCATTGTGCTGTACACAATCATTATGTTGCAACAAAAGCTTATCATTCACTGACTTAGCCCTGGTCTACACTACAGGGTTAGGTCGAATTTACCCGCGTTAGGTCAATTTTATAATGAATGCGTCTACACAAGCAACCCCCGTTCCGTCGACCTAAAGGGCTCTTAAAATCGACTGCTGTACTCCTCCCCGGCGAGGGGAATAGCGCTAAAATCGACCTTGCTGGGTCGAATTCGGGGTAGTGCGGACGCAAATCAACGGTATTGGCCTCCAGGAGCTATCCCAGAGTGCTCCATTGTGACCGCTCTGGACAGCACTTTGAACTCCAATGCACTAGCCAGGTACAGAGGAAAAGCCCCGGGAACTTTTTAATTTCGTTTCCTGTTTGGTCAGCGTGGCGAACTCAGCAGCACAGGTGACCATGCAGTCCCCCCAGAATCTTAGAGCGCAGAATGTTTCTACACTCCCCCTATCATCTCCGTCCCTGAGGTTATCGCAGATTAGAAGGCGGAAAAAACGCACTCGCGATGACATGTTTTCCAAGCTCATGCAGTCCTCCCGCACTGATAGGGCACAGCTTAATGCATGGAGGCATTCAGTGGCAGACGCCAGGAAAGAATTAAGTGAGTGTGAAGAGCGGAGGCAGGATGCGATGCTGAGGCTAATGGGGGAGCAAATGGACATGATGAAGTGTCTGTTGGAGCTGCAGGAAAGCCCAGACAGGAAAGCACAGACCCCCACTGTATAACCACCTACCCTCCTCCCCATGTTCCATAGCCTCCTCAGCCAGACACCCAAGAACGCAGGGCAGGGAGGCTCCGGGCACCCAGCCACTCCACTCCAGAGGATGGCCCAAGCAACAGAAGGCTGTCATTCAAACAGTTTGATTTTTAGTGTGGCTACAATAATCAATGTGACATTGGCCTTCCCTCCTCTCCTACCTCATCCAGGCTAGCTTGTCCGTTATCTCATTTTTTTTTTAATTAATAAAGAAAGAATGCATGGTTTCAAAACAATAGTTACTTTATTTCGAAGGGGGGAGGGTGGTTGGCTTACAGGGAATTAAAATCAACAAAGGGGGCAGGTTTGCATCAAGAAGAAACACACACAACTGTCACACCGAAGCCTGGCCAGTCTGAAACTGGTTTTCAAAGCCTTTCTGATGCGCAGCGCGCCTTGCTGTGCTCTTCTAATCACCCTGGTGTCTGGCTGCTGAACATCGGACGCCAGGCGATTTGCTACAACCTCCCACCCCACCATAAACGTCTCCCCTTTACTCTCACAGATATTATGGAGCACACAGCAAGCAGCAATAACAATGGGAATGTTGGTTGCGCTGAGGTCTGACCAACAGCACCAGCGAGCTTTTAAACGTCCAAAGGCACATTCTACCACCATTCTGCACTTGCTCATGCTTGCTGTGGTATGGCGTCTGCACGGGTAACCCAGGAAAAAAGGCGCAAAACCATTATCTGCCGTTGCTTTCATGGAGGGAGGAGCGACTGACGACATGTACCCAAAACCACCCACGACAGTGTTTTTGCCCCATCAGGCATTGGGAGCTTAACCCAGAATTCCAATGGGCGGCGGAGACTGCGGGAACTGTGGGATAGCTACCCACAGTGCACTGCTCTGTAAGTTGATGCTATCCACGGTAGCGAGGACGCACTCTGCCGACTTAATGCACTTAGTGTGGACATAGCAATTGACCGTATAAAATCGATTTCTAAAAATTGACTTCTATAAAATCGACCTAATTTCGTAGTGTAGACATACCCTTAGGTTAGTGTGTTAATACTCTTCTTTTATCCAAACGCTTTCTCACCGTCATGAGGTAGGGGCATTGTGTCAAAAACCTCATTGCATAGTTTCATTAAGTGACATCACTGCATCAAAATGTCATCATCTGGCAATGTAGTGTCACAATATGATGTGTTTTCATAGGCCTCCAAAGCTGATTTTTGAGCCTCTCACAAGCACAAAACAAGTGGCAATCGTGTACAATAAACAGTGTGCAGAAATATATTCTGAGATGCAGCTGGTGTTCTCAAAACTAGGAACATAAAGTTATAAATTAGTTTGGGTCCTCAGCAGAGGAAATTATTATATGCTGGACAGCATGTAGCTATGATTCAAATGAGAAAGCATCTAGGATAAATCAGTTTGTAGTGCAACTGGTAAGGTGGGTAGGACAGTAAAGGAATGTTGGATTGAAATGGATACAGTGAGATGAAAGGCAAACAGTATTTCTTTAAAGATGACTCTGGATTTACTTACTTCCATGAGATGGCAGTCACTGACAGCAAAATGAATGTGCTCAGGTATCCCTCACAAGTAACAAAGGCTAGGTCTACACTACCCGCCTGAATCGGCGGGTAGAAATCGATCTCTCGGGGATCGAATTATCACGTCTCGTCGGGACGTGACAATCGATCCCCGAATCGACGCTCTTACTCCACCAGCGGAGGTGGGAGTAAGCGCCGTTGACTGGGAGCCGTGGAGGTCGATTTTGCCGCCGTCCTCACAGCGGGGTAAGTCGGCTCCGATACGTCGAATTCAGCTACGCTATTCGCGTAGCTGAATTTGCGTATCTTAAATCGACACACCCTCCCCCCTCCCGTAGTGAAGACCTGCACCTAGTCTTTGCAAACATTGGAGCTTGATTGATAGATTCTAGAGGAAGAGTTGCCAGGAGGCAGGGCATATGAGTAGGGAGGGAAGATAAGGAGAAATGTATCTGTAGCATCTACCTTCCCCACTCATCAAATAAAATAGCACTAGATGGATTCTGAGATTAAGCAAGGTAGGTAGATAGATTCTACTTAATTTGCCTAGGCCTTACAATACTATTTTGAAGACCTGTTTGCCCTAAACCTGCACCACCTTCCCTTGGGAGTTCAATTTATTTAAATATTTGTGGGTCAGTAGCTTTCTAATCTCATGCCTCAAGCCACCCTTCCTTCAGAACCACACTTGTTCTAGAGCCCGGTCCAAGAGTCTTAGTTTGTGCCTTTTTCAGCCCAACAGTTGCAGGAAGACCTAATGAGTGCACTCTGGCAGGACTGGATATCAGCAGGAAGGCCCTGCAAAATAAGTGTATTATACAAAGGGATCTGAGGAAGGTTACTTAGTGGATAAAAAGCTGGTCCTGATATAAGAGGCACTGTGCAAGTCAGCACATGGGAACAGACACAGGAAGTAGTTGAGAGATGTTCAAAGACCCTTGGCCATCAACCTTCAACTGAGCTCTGGAAAATTACTATACAGGAACAGCCCAGTCTGGTACGGTGGCCCCAGGTGCCTATCACAATCACCACTTACGAAAGGGATCATTATTGAGCAAAGCAAAGTGCTCCCTTCCAAAGGAAATTAAGGCATTTCTGCCTCCCACAAGCAAGCAGCCCAGGGACTCCTGCATGTCAGTGCTCTGCACAGTTAACTAGTCCAGTCTTCCAAAGAAAATAATTCATTTTAAGTTATATTTATGGTAGGGTCTTGTGGAAAAAAAAAAAAAAAAAAAAAAAAACCACTTTCTTCTGGCATTGTGGAAAGTTCATACTAAACATACACACTATGCAGTGTAGTTGTAGCATGTTGGTCCCAAGATATTAGAGAGACAAGGTGGGTGAGGTAATATCTTTTATTGGACTCTTGTCTCTCTCACCAACAGAAGTTGGTCCAATAAAATATATTTATCTGACCCACCTTGTCTCTCTACTATGTACTGTGGCATCCATTGTTTTCTTACCATAATGAACTTGTGCAGTCAACCGTCTAGTTTTTCAATTAAAAACAGGCAAGTAGGACATGCTTTAATACTAAAAATGGTTTATTTACATACAATGACTTGAAAAGCTCATTTAAAATAAGTTACAGTACAAAAGAATATCTGTCTGCACAGATGGGACACAGCCCCTTACTTAATGTAGTTTCTCTGTGCTGAAACAAGTTTTACAGCAAAAAAAAATGAAAATATCAAACGTGTCGATAACTAAGCAGCTGTTTGATTAGTATAAAAATGCTCATGCACATCATCTAGATACTGCCCATGAGTCTTGATCCTACAAGTTGTTCCATGTGAGCAGGCCCCTGCACCCAACCAGAGCCCTGTTGAAGTAAATGGGTCTCCTCTCTATTGAAGGGATCTGCCCAAGCAGAACTGCAGGCAGGATCAGGGCCTTGAAATTGACAAGCAGAATTAGACAATTATGTTTGCAGAAGAGGAAGTAGAGAAACTATGAAACACAGAATGAAGGTAATACTGCTCTAAAAATTGCTATGAAAATGGGTAGCTGAATACAGATGGTATGTTAAACTATAGGATGTGGGTTTCCACAGCTGTGTCTGATAATTCAATTTAATCTGCAGTCAGTTCATTTGAAGATCCAAAATAGTAACAGTACAGACTCCATAGCTGTGACTTGCACTAGACCCTCTATATGATTTTGGGACTTGGAGGACAGAAACAAATTTTGGGTCAAATGAAATTTGGAGAGTTTGGATAAGCTGGGTTTACCTATATTAATGTCTTGTGTCCAATGTTTTGTTTTTAGTTTGAAGTGAGATTGAACACTGTACAAATATGCTCCTTCCCCAACTAACTGCTCCAATCCTTCTTTCATTGAAGTCAATGGGAGCTTTGCAGGACCGGAACCTTTTTAGCCAATGGTTTGAAATGTTCCTCCTTGGAATCCTGCTGTAATTGTATGTGGATCCCAGTTCCAAAGTTAGAGTTGTTCAATGAGGGCACAGAAAGGGTTTACGATCTGAGAGGAGAACAGTAGCTACAGCAGGAAGAAGCTATTGGCAATTCATTTCTGCATTGGTTGCTGCTTCTTATATGCATTCCAGTGCCACAGCGTTGTGCTGCATACAAGCCTACTTATATTGCAACAAAATGTTATCCTTTAGTCACTTAGGGCTTGGCTACACTTACGCGGTAGTTCGGCGGCTGGCAATCGAACTTCCGGGTTCGATTTATCGCGTCTTGTCTGGCCGCGATAAATCGAACCCAGAAGTGCTCGCCGTCGACTCCGGTAATCCTGCTCGGCGAGAGCAGTACACGGAGTCGACGGGGGAGCCTGCCTGCCACGTCTGGACCGCGGTAAGTTCGAACTAAAGTACGTCGACTTCAGCTACGTTATTCACGTAGCTGAAGTTGCGTACCTTAGTTCGAATTGGGGGGTTAGTGTAGACCAGGCCTTAGGGGTGTATGTTAAAACTCCTCTTTTATCCAAATAATCACTCATTGTCATGATATGGGGGCATCTATGCCATTGTGTCAAAAAACAGAACAACTGTGTGTTGAGGACAGGCTAGTTTGCAGTTTCCCTAGGCTTACATTGTGGTAGTTATATGGTCATAGCTTCTGACTGTCCACAAAACAAATTTATTCATGATACCCATGATAGGAAAAGAAAACAAATGAACTGAGATAATATAACAAGCATTTCACAGGCAGGGCCATAAAAACAAAACAACTTGTTAAACAAACAAGCTCATATTTTGATTTAATGCCAATTAAATACAGAAACAGCTCTGAGGTGTTGATTATTTGTGTTTTTTATTTTAAACTGAGATTTGCAGCAGCACTGAATCTGATGTGCTCACCACATATTTAGTAATAACACGTGCTACTAGTAACCTGGAGCAGTAATTAGCATTGAGACAAATTCCTTGTGCAGCAATTTGCATATCTAAAAAGGGAGCTACTTGCATTACTGAGAGGTATCAGTGCTGCTTTGGACCTCCCAGAATCTTGATACAATGGAACCAAGCCATCGAACTTTGATATGAAATAAAACTTTACTGTGATTAGGCACAGCTGGTAGTGTTTATTTAGGAGAGACTCTAGGCTGGAACAGAAGTGGCTGTTGCAAGCCAAAGTTGAAGGGCATCTGCAAACTGTGCATAGGTCCTGGGAAACAACAAGGGGTGCTGAAGGTCAGGACTGAGGTGAGTGGAAATGAGTGGGGGGGAACCAGGTCTGGAACAGCAAAGGGAAGTCCGGATTTTGGTGCATCAGTAGAATAGGAATGGGCAGAGACTGCCATAGAATCTGCCCTCACTGCAGCTGATAATAGGCAAGGTTCTCAGTCTGTCACTTTCAGACACACTAAGTCACCTACAAAGTCAAACAAAAGTCAAACTGAAAAATGCATCCACTTCTAAATACCATTCCAGCCAAAGAAACGGCACACGGTCCAAAACTGTAACACTTTCCACTTCGCGTAACAACAGGATCAAAACCCCATTCTTGCAATAAGCTGTCCCTGTGATCAAACTGTCTCATCATTCTTCTTTTTAGAAACATTTAAAGAGCTTTTGAGAAAGGAAAAATAGTGCAAACCAAATTTAAGAATTAAAGCGAGAACGAATAAGAGTGTGGCAAGCACAGACAGTTTGCAATGGGAATGGGTTAACCATTGCACATTTTCATTCAGAGTGACTATCATTCTCCCCCCCCCCATTTTCTTTTCTACAAATATGGTGGGGGACGAGGGGGTTGTTTTGTGGGGAGGGAGGGGAAAACATTTTAAAAAGTTCAAAAAAATTAAAGGCATTTTTCCAAAATTCTTCCACAGACCAAAATGAGAATTTTGAAAATTCTGTTCCTGAATCTTTGAATTTCTTATAGTTCTCTTGGGATTTTTCCTCTTCAACAGAGTGAATCAAATGAAATTCTGCGAAGGACGTACATTTCTCCAAATGGCTACAACGGGATTGAAGACCAAAGACAACTTCACTGTTGATAGGACAAGTTTCCCTGCGTTGTTTCAATGGAAGGAAATAAGATCTCACACTGTATTTTAATCCCACCGTCTTGCCGTGGCACAGATTTTAAGGTGAACAGGGATACCACAGTTGCGGCATCAGACATCTGTAATTCAGCTTTGTTCTAACATCTGAAATCACAAGGATTAGCCATCTGCTTCTGAAACTTCCGCAGGGGAGAAGCTACGGGAAGGAAAAAAAGACAACATATTACTACAACATTCTTGGGACTTAAAATAGTGAAGGCAGATGATGATATCAAAAAGTGGGAAGGTAAAATGATGTATAAATGCACCAGCAGAGCCTATTAGTAGCATCAGGAATGTTCTTCCTGTAATGCCCTTAAAACAAGGAAGGCAAAGGGGAATCTAAAAAGCACAGATGAAAATGGCACTCTTATTTATCCACAAAACAGCTACATACTGGGTAGCAACTGTTCGAGCTTCCTTACCAATGAGCATCAACCCTGACCTGGAGAAACCTCCTGTAGGGTTGAGAGGGAAGTTCTGTCTCCATTGCCTATTCAGGCCTTGTTCGGTCTCTGAGGCTGCCAACGAGGAAGCCAGTCAGTACTAACGGTGACTATGGCAGTAGCAGTTTTTGTAATGTGGATACCATGACCCGTCCGCTAGGAACTTACCTGAGACTTACCCACTCATTTCACACAGGTCATGGAACAGCCACGTAAAAAAACCTCTTCAAAACCTGCAGCAGGTCAGAAAGCTGTTGGAAAGCACTTACCTGCACTGTATGTAGTCTTTAGTCAGAGAACCTTAGTCTTCTAATGGGACAGCTACCTTCTCTTCTGTACTCTTCAGCTTCTCCTTTTCTGTTCTAGAAAAGCCGAAAGCAGCCATCAGACCCCCTGCCCAACTGCCCCGGGTTCTGAGTCACAAGGAGGTAATAAGCAGGGATTCTAGAAATCCGTTTGCCTTGGAAAAACATGAAATTTGGTTGGTTTGTTTTTTTAAAACAATCTTTAGTTTTTACTTTTTTGAAAAAAATAAAAACCATTAATTACATTTTAGTGAAGTGACAGCAGGAGCCCCGCTGCCCAGGGCGTTTCATTTTACGCACAGAAAAACACGGATTTTTATATTTTTTTAAATAGGAGAATTCTGGGTTTTTTTATCACTGAAAACTAGACTCCCTGGCAATAAGCCTGTTAAGTGGCAGGTCCACAGACAGCTCCTGGGGTCTACGCTAGGGCGGAAGGGAGAATCTATCATTCGGATTTTAATTGGCTGTGACCCCTTCCCCAGAGGTATCCCTGCATAGGTGACACATCCCTCAGTCCCACTGTCAGCACAGCAGCCCCCTTGATGTATCCTTGACCCATTCGCACTCTGCTAAATACCAGCTTGTGTTTGGCTGGAAAAGAAAATACCGGTTGTAGCACTACATGACCCACCCAAAGGTCCAGAGGGATGGAGGTGAATAGCGGGGATGGAGTCAACAACCCCTGGAGATCCAGAACAGCACTAATCTCCACTGGTGCCCCAAATTTGTTCCCAACGCATTTCCCCAGGTGCCCCAGCTGGCTAGCCAGCCGGGGAGTGCACAGGGTACAGTAACTCTATACACTAGAAGACATGGTTTCCTGTAGGTTCCTTTATTTGCATGGCAAGTTCATTACATTAGTTGGTTACATGTGTTTAGGCCACAGCATAGCTGTATGTTCCTGTAAATTGCACAGTAACTCAATCACAGCTGGTTAGACATGATCCCAATCACTGCCCCACTTTCACCACCTAAACCTTTCGGACAATGGTTCCATTGTGATCAAGTCTTTTAATGCCACTACCCATAACCCTGTTCTGCATTCAGCCTTCACTCTGGTCCCCCTGCAAACCGCTCACTAAACCCCAACACATCACCCAGCTGCAATGCCTTTAATTACAGAAGCAACGAGGAATCCTTGTGGCACCTTAGAGACTAACAGATGTATTTCGGCATAAGCTTTCATGGGCTAAAACCCACTTCTTCAGATGCATGGAGTGAAAAATACAGTAAGCAGAATATATATTATAGTACAGGAAAAGGACTCCTCATTGTTTTTGCTGATCCAGACTAACACGACTCCCACTCTGAAACCTTTAACTACAGAGTATCTTGAGAGCCATGAGACAAGCAAATGCTGTGGCCACCAGCTCCTTTTTACAGCGTTCTGATACTGACCCTTCCTACCAACCTGTAGCTGTTCAGTTTTAAGTGGCTGTAAAGCTTTCCTGCTCCCTTCTAGCAAAGAAGCTAGTTAAATTCCTTCGGCGCTGTAGTTACACTTGATCAGAAAGTAATGAGTATCTGATGTACCCCTTGGTTTAGCAAACAGAAGCTAGGGTTGCTCCTAATCACACAGGACATATCCTCTGTATCAGCCACTACTCCATGGTGCTGTGCTTATCCTTAGAACAGGCAGAGCAAGCTTCCCCCACACAGACATCTCCACAGTTGGCTTCTATCCTGACTTGATGGACCCCCTCCAGGGATAAGAGGAGGAGCTCATTTACTCTGTGAGCTCCCTGGTGTGACTACCAACAAAGGGGCCAATTACTGCCAGTTGATGGTAGGTTTTGCACTACAGACTCTTGGCTGCCCCGTGCTAGGCACTGGCCAAACCCCTATGAAGATATTTTGAGGTTTCCCAGAAGCCCCTGTCCTTACAGTTCTGTCTCCACCATCTCAGTGCTCTTCTCTTGCCGTCTGTTCCGATAGTGTCGCCAGACAACTACCATTATCACCACAATGATCATCAGAGCACAGGCAGACCCTATGACCAGAGCCAGGATGTGGATTTCCGAGAAATGCACTGCACAGAAGAGAAACAGGTGAAAGAGAGGGGGGCTTGGTTGGGAGGGGACTTAGCAGAGGGCTGGGAGTCAAGAACTCCCGAGTTCAGTCCTTCCTCACCCACATCCCTTATTGCATTAATTTACTTTCCTGATACCTCCCCTTGGTAATCCCTTTCCCTTCGTGCACTCCCCCACACATGGTAGGAGATCATCCACTTGTGCCAGTTCCCTGTACAGCTAACTTCATATTGACCACGACAGTGCCCCGGGCCACGTACCTTGCTGCACAATACGGAGTTGGATTTCACCAATCGTGCCATCAACATCTGGCGGGTTCTTCACCTGGCAAGTGAACGTCCCATTGTCAGTGGGATTCAAGTTCCAGACAACGATGGAAGCATCGTTCCGGTCAATGTTCCCATCCCAAGTAACTCGCTCTTTAAACCGCCCACTGGTCGGGGGATAGGGCTCCTCATAGTAGTAGAGCACCTGGATGGTGAGAGAGGAAGCTTCATCATTACTGTGCAGTGTGAGACTGCATCCTGCTCTGTGGAGGAGCAACCTGCCTGTCGGGAATAGTGCTCAAGCCCATTCTGCAAATGCTCAGAGCATTTATAAAACAGGCAGGACAGGGATCCCGGTGTCTCCGTCTCAGTTTGGGGGCAAGAGAGGCAGCATGGATGGAAAGCAGCCATGCAAAGAAGCCTAGACAAGCATGGTGGGATGGGACTGAGGGGACACGTCCCCCTCAAATTCTCTCTCCCCTGTTGATGTCTCCTTCACAGTGGCTGCAGGTGTCCTGCACCCTGACCCCATTTTCTCACCTCTGAAAGCAGCTGCAACTTCACATTCACCAGGGGCCGGTAGCGAGCCAGCAGGGCCCCCAGGTAGCACAGGCTGGAGAAGGTGCGTGGCTCAGGCAGGCAGGCAGCTGTGCTGCGTCAGACTCTCACAGCAGAGCTCAGAGACCATCTGACCCCTCAGGGGGGATCCCTCCTGGGGCACACCAGGTTCAGGCTGGCCCTCTCCTGACACCAGTGCTGAAGCTGTGTTACATGCATCGAACCATGGCCCTTGCTGACGTACTTCCCCTCCCACTGTGGGCCAGGCAAAGTCACAAGCAAGACCTGTGGCTTCAGCAGGGACACAGGACCAAATCAGGCTGTGATGTAAGCAGGTGCAGCTGCACTTGCCCCCCAGCATTTAACCCTACATGCAGGAACTACCTAAAAATGGTTCCTCTAGCCAGGTTCGATGGCCAGCAAAGATAGGACCTGAAACCAAAACTCACTGCAGAGGGGGATTCGTCAGCAGAATCTTTTAATCAGTTAAAGTCAGAGTCACCTACCCCACATGCCTCTGCTAATCTGTATTCCCCACCCATGTCCACACCCTCTATTGTTAGTTACACTCCCATTGCAGCAAATTCTATGCAGCGGGAGAGGCTTGTATGAGCAATACCTTATCGCTCAACTGGAGCAGAATGGTCCCACTTACAGACTCATGAGAGTTCATTCCCTGGGGCTGGAAGTTCCAGGTCACCGTCACACGCTGGCTAACTGGGCTGGAGCTGGAAAAGGTGCATTTTAAGCGTACATTGGTCCCATTCAGAGCCTCTACTTCCCTGGAAGTGTGAACTTCCACAGCTGCCACAGGCCAGAGTGCTGCAGGGAAAACGGGATGGAAATTTAAAAAACAAAAAAAACCCCGCTACATTCTAAAAGAAAGCACCTCACCCTTCCTTGTCCACATTTAGGGTTCCTGTTTTGGGGTTTATTAATTTAATTGGGGGGGGGGGGTATTTTTAGCAATTGGAGTTTTAGGTAGATGTCCAAAAATTGCGGGGGAGGAGTTTCAGGGCTCTCTATATATAGTGTGTGGATATACTGTAATGAGCAATCTTGGTAATGTTCCCTAGTGCACTTTAATTTAATACAGTTACAAACAGCACTAGATTAAAGCACACTAGGAAACCTTTAGTGTTCCCTGGCAGGGTCTACACAGACCAACACAGACCAACAACGATGTGCAACACATTAATGTTCTTTAGAAAGCACACCTGTGTAGAATGCACTACCCTATTGTGTAGATGAGCCCTTAGATACAAGGAACCATTTCCAGTGTATTTCCATGTTTGTGAATAAACACCAATTTCAGTCTGTGTGTGTCAGGGGTCTTTTATCAAAATGTATCAGTTAAAACCAAAAACCAGAAGCCCTATCCACTCAGTCTGGGCTGGTGCCTGCCCTATCAGCTCCTGTTAATAAATTACACCAAGAATCGCAAGGAATAGATTTAATTGATAATGATCTTGCATGTATAGAATCTGAAGGAGCCCAAAGTGCTTCACAGACTTAATCAGCTGATACACAAACACAGCACAAGGATGACATCAGGGTGGAGTTGTTCCTTCCGTCCTTGGGTAGGGCTTGGCAGCACTTCTCTATGGGAATGGAGGAGAGCTTGATCCAAACATGGCTTTTGGTCCACAGTGCTTTGTACTGAAGAGGCATGGGCTGCTGTAGTTGAGAGCACTGGAAATGGTCCTTTTTTCCACATTTATAGACAACGATGCTTGCCCAGCAGTGCCTAAAGTCAGAGGGACTTCTGTGTGTGCATAGCATCTGTTTGCAGAGCAGCAATATACAGCACTGCAATTCCATGACAGACATTTTAGAAGGTCTACAGAAGAATTCTTCCATTGACCTAGCTACTGCATCTCAAAGTAATTTTCCCTCTGTTGATACTCACCCCTTCTTGTCAGCTGTTGGGAATAGGCCACTTCCACCTTGATTGAATTGGCCTTGTTAGCACTGACCCCCCCCCCCCACTTACTAAGGCAACTCCCATCTTTTCATGTGCTGTAATATATATACCTGCCTACCATGCATCCGATGAAGTGGGTTTTAGCCCATGAAAGCTTATGCCCAAATAAATTTGTTAGTCTCTAAGGTGCCACAAGGATTCCTCGTTGTTTTAGTACCATGACAGAATACCCCTTCTGTTGCTGTAGCAAGTGTCTACACTACAGCAGCTGTGCCACTGTAATGTTTGTGGTGTAGACACAGCCTCAGTATCCGGGACACATTCCAGCTGGGGTGATTACATTCTGCTTCTCTCAGTTCCCCAGGCAGTCCCAACTGGAAAGAATATTCCTTATCGCCTCTTGTGTAGCACTGCTAAGTGCTGTTAAGCAGCTACTACGTCCTACTCCAGACAGGGTGGGTGACGTCACTTCTTTACACAGTTTGTATTTATTACATTAAGCATTTCATGCACCGCAGGATGAATGGTGCTCAATGAATGCAAGGTGTCCCTGCTTGGGAGCATGCACAACCCCTGCTAATATTGTTCCACAGTTACTGCCACCACAGCTGCTTGGTGGTGGTTTGGGGGGTGGGTTTCTGTATCTCATTCAGGACGAAAGGTAACCTTTGTAAGGATCTCAAAGAACCATCCGTAGTGTTTTTATTTTCCTCTTGGGACAACTAATGAAAAAACGGAGTGGAGTGACGGTCAAAGGTTCAGAATCAGGGTGCCTGATGGGGACACCGAGCAGAGAGCCCCGGACAGCGCCCACTGCTCCTCAAAGGTGTCAAGGGAGCCAGCGGACGCTGCCCAGTGGAACTCTGCCCGGAGACGTGAGACCAGGGAGGTACGGAAATTTTATGAAAACAGGTTAACTCTACTAGGGCTACTAGGAAAGAGAAAAGGGGACTGGAAAGAGAGCAGAGAGAGAAGATGAAAAGGCTAACTCCTAGGGAGGCCTTTCAGCTTTGGAGTTCTGATTCTGCTCTTGCTCACACTACCGTAACTGCAATGATAGAGGCCATGTCTACACTACATGAACTACAGCCCCACAGCTACAGCACTGCAGCGACGTTGTAGGAGGCACCTCCTACAATGACAGGAGGGTTTTCCATCATTCTAGGATATCCACCTCTCCAAGCAGCGGTAGCTAAGTCAACAGAAGAATTCTTCCGCTTACTTAAGAACATAAGAATGGCCATATTGGAACCGACCAATGGTCCATTTAACCTAATATCTGGTCTTATAACAGTGGCCAGTGTCAGATGCTTCAAAGGGAATGAACAGAACAGGGCAATTATTGAGTGATCCATCCCGTTGTCCGGTCCCAGCTTCTGGCAGTCAGAGGCTTAGGGACACCTGGAGTGTGGGGCTGTGACCCTGATCATCTTGGCTAACAGCCATCAATAAAACTATCCTCCATGATATTATGTAATTCTTTTTTGAACCCAGTTATATTTTTGGCCTTCACAACATCCCACAGCAAGGAGTTCCACAGGTTGACTGTGCATTGTTTGAAGTAGCACTTCCTTATGTTTGTTTTCAGCCTGCTGCCTATTAATTTCATAGCATGACTGCTGGTTCTTGTGTTATGTGAAGGGGTAAAGAACACTTTCCTATTCACTTTCTCCACCCCATTCATGACCTAGCCACATCTACACCGGGGTTAGATGTAGCACAGTGCTCAGGTAGGTGACTTTTTCCCGTAGCCTGGAGCACTGGAGCTATGCTGACCTAACCTTTAAGCGTAGAGGAGGCCTAAGTGACATTACTTCTAATTTACACCAGTGTGAGATCAGAATCTAATCAAGTTAGTTGCTAGAATCAAGCTAAAAGGGTTAAGCTACGTCAATAGAGGTGTTAAGGGAGATTTCACTTGAGTTAAGCTAAACCAATTGAGCTAACAATTGAAAAAGCAAAAAAACACCTTTTTTGGCCTGCGGAGAGAGGACTTTAGTGACTGGTCACTAGGACACCTCCTGCATATTGCAGGCTGTGAACCTCGCCCATACTCCTGTAATAGACCCCTTCCCTAAATACACCTCCCTGACAGCAGGATGACACCAATGAAACCAATCAGGAAACTCCGAGATAAGGCTGAAATCAACCCCCCCCCCCCCCAGCACATCACTTGGGCACGCAGCACACACAGCGTTGGGGGAAATGTGAGAGAACTGTGGGGCCAATGTTACTCCCTTCTTAATTCATGTAGTGCCAACACTATGCTCTGCCCTGCACAGGGCACAAAGAAAGCCAGTCCCTGCCCCAGAGAACACAAAGGACAGACCCTGAGCAGACAAGACACAGTGCTGCCAACTCTTGAAATCAAGTATCAGGGGGTAGCCGTGTTAGTCTGTATCTACAAAAACAACAAGGAGTCTGGTGGCACCTTAAAGACTAACAGATTTATTTGGGCATAAGCTTTCGTGGGTAAAAACCTCACTTCTTCGGATGCATTTCTACTCTTGAAATGTTATTTCAAGGCTCATTATAAGTGTTTTTTTTCTGGAAAAGGCCCAACTGTCTGCTGGAATCAGGTTATTACCTGAAAATCTCGGCTTTCATTGACAAGAGAAAAGTTTCCAGCCCTTGTGGTTTCAGAGAGAAGCCTGACAAACACGACCCCTTCTGCCCCAGCACCAGATGGCAGGTAAAAGCGCCCCAAACTTCTGATCTTTACATCTCACCGTTCTCCCTGAGGCCTGACATGCATGGGGTTGGCAATGCTGTGACATACTGGGGAATCCAGAAGTCAGTGGGGTGGGGGTGAGGGGGGGGTTGATTTTACTTTTCATAACAATTATAAACTCTTGTTGTGGGCACCTCGGAAGAAGAGGGTTTGAGTGGGGGCAGACAGTGGCTTGTGAGGAGGGACAGAGAGACTCTTCCCCCCAAAGTGGGCAGCAGGGGAAAATGCCCAGAGATGGGAGATAGCTCAAGGAGGGCTGTAGTCTCACCTGAGGGAAAGAGGTGTTACTCATCCGGAATGCCCACACAGGACAACACAGCGGCTTCACACAACAACTGCCTTTGCCTTCGCTAGCTGCAAAACCCACGGAGCCTCCAGCTCATCAGCCAGACTCACAACAGGGAGACCTCCCACTTTAGACCTAAATTCACCTCTTCCCAGCCTATTGTCCAGTAAGCTTTTTCCTGCAGAAAAGCACAACCATTCACCTGGGGTTGCAGAACATGGTTTTTATGCTAAGGAATGCAGCCCACCTTGCATTATGAGTTTTATTTCCTATTGCCCTCTACGCTACTGTATTCGGCAGTATCTGGTGGGGCTCTGAAATGTCCACAATGTAATTCAAAACCCTGGAATCTGGGCTCTTGGCATCCTCCTCACTCAATTTCCAAAAAAATAAATTAAAAAAAACAAACAAACAAAAAACACCACAACAAACCATGCCATTTCCCAGCTATGTTCATCTTCTTGAAACCAGGACCTCATTCAAAAGAGGAAACACCTCAAATATTTTTTCATAGTTTTGCATTTGAAAATCTCTTTTTGGCGAAGATCAGCTTTGCAGCTAAGTGAAAACCACCATTTTGAAAAAACACCTTAGTGCAAACTTGGGCTGTAAGTGTAAATGTTTTTCACAACAGATCACAGAAAAGCCCGTGTGCATGCACACGTGCTGGAAGTGAAGTGACAGAAGCAATGTAAAACCACAGGGGGTCTATGGACCAAATTCTGGGTCTCTTATGCGAATGTAAACCCTGTAAAATTCCACTGAAGTCGGGGTATTTATTCCAGATTTACATAGCTGCAATGGATCTGAAACCTGACCTGTCTCTAGTTTAATCATCTCTTTTTAACAAAAGTGGCGAAAGCAGGGCAGTTCAAAGAGTAAAGTCCTCCTCCTGGCTGGAGCAGGGACTGAAAGGAAAGAGCGTGTAACCCGATCTCAGACTGCTCAGGCCTCAGTCTCTAGCTGGAACACATCTGAACCTGTTTGTCCAGGACCTGAGTCCATACGCACAGTCACCCCATGTAGCTCTCAGCCAAATCAGCCCCAAAAGACACTCAGCCACGGAAAGAAATGCCAGAATTCTCCCGGCCCTGACTTTAGGAGGGAGGGAACTGGAAGAATAGGAGGGTAAAGCAAAGGAGGCAGCTGAGGCCAAGGGGGAAAACGCCCGAATAATTCCTTACCTAGGAGCTGTCCCCCAAGGAAGAGCACAGCCCCCATCCAGCTGGGGCCATGCACGGGGAGTGGCAGGTCCATACTCCAGAGACTGAGCAGGGAGATAAGGGAATTTCTCCGAACTGGGGGAGAAGGGAGCTCCCAGGAGTCCTACTGCCAGACACGCCACTAGCGAGAACTCCTTGCCTTGCCCTTCCCTCCCTGCCAGGGCAGCTCTCAACAGGCGGTGCTGCTCCTGCCTGAGTCACTCCCAGAGCGGCCCCAGCCTGGGAACTAAAAGTGGATCCACCACAGCTCTGTGCACAAAGCAGGCGGATTTTCCTTTCCCCTCTGTGTAGCAATCATCACTCCGCCCAGCTTCCCTCCTCCTCCCACTGGGAACCAGCCCTCTGGTTTTGGGTTGTTTTTGTTTGTTTGTTTTGGGTTTTTTTAGGCAGATTTGCTCCTAGAAGAAAGTCGGTCCCAGGGTATTTACATACAGCATAGAGCAGGATAGTGTCCTTGGCAAAGCGGAGTCAATACACAGGGTGCAGTCTCCATGGCAGCATACAGAGCCCAGCAAGACCTGCCACGGTTCCCTTTGCTCAGAGGGATCGTGTCCCTCTGCGTGTACCCATCCCGCTAGGGCCGTGGTTCTCAAACTTTTGTACTAGGGGCTGCGAAGCTGAGTTCATTAATGTTTGTAGAGAGCTTTGAGATCCTTAGCCCAAAGTGTTCTCGTTAAACCAGAGATTACACCATTTTCCAAACCACCCCAGCCCAGGGCTTGCATGGACAGGGCTCTGGCATCCTTCCCTGGCACTCAAACACCACAAGGTAACAGGAAAAGATGTTTTTCCCAGCAACATCTCAATGAAGCGTGATAGACACAAACACTAATTCCCCCCTTGTCAGTATTAGAGGAATGTAAATCACTTTCCAACTCACAGTGGTTGGGACCAGAAGTAGTTACTGTCTGATGTTCTATGGCCTGTGTGAAGTCAATTGGATGTCTCAGTCCAGTTCCTAGTGCCCAATCCTCCACACGGCAGGCGGAAATCTGAGTCACGACTGGCAATGACTTGCTGACAGGCACAGGACTGAATGGACCTTCAGACCAAACTCCCCTCTCGCTCCAAGGGGGAGCCCCTTTAGCTCAGTGCTCAGGCATGTTGCCAGAGGCAGTGTGAGGGAAACCTGCCCGCCTGGCACCTGTGCCATAACGTACTCATTCCCCGAAAGGACAGAACTAGAGGCAAGAGCCAGGAGACTAGGCAGGCTGACTGGAGCAGGGGCTCTCAGATTTTTCCATAGTAGGAACCACATCCTCATCAAGAGGTTCTCTTGGGGACACCTCCCCATCACCATCCCCGAGCATCCCTGCTGGAAATGACTGAACCTTTTATGCAACTGAACATCTGGAAACAAAGGGAGAATCCCAGCACCATGTGCCCAGCCCGCTCTCTGCAGACCAACAGCATAGCTGGTCTAGAGGGCCTCAGTCCTAAAGCACGGTACATTTCTAGTTCAAAGAGTAACCGGTCCCTGTCCAGTCCACTCTGCACAGCATGTCACCAGACTTTCCCTCAGTTGCTATTCTGAGAATATTCTCTCCATTTCTTTCACTTCTACAAACCACATTTATTGGTGGTTTTTTGTTTGTTTGCATGATGGGACATTTGTTTCCTGCCACCATCCTTGCTGCAGTGCAAACACTCAGTTTAGGTCACTGTCAGAAAATGTGCTGAAGGTGGTGTGTGGCTGAATAGGTGCATCACACACACAACAGCTACGAGTTACGTCCTGGGACAGAGCCCACAGGAGTGTTTTGGACAGAAGCAAGCTGGAAGGCAAATGGTACATGAAAACGGCTTGGCTCCTGTTTGCCATAGGAAGTGGAAAGGGAGTACTTTTCAAGGGAGCTCAAGTGAAGTACAGAGTAGTGATTTTATAATGAGCTGCAAAGCTTGGGGAAAGTTTCTGCAAGGCCTTGGAGGAGGTGAAATGAAAATGAGCATGAGCGGAAACAGAGCAGGAAAGATGACAACCAGCAGCGGGGAAACCCTTTCCCTAGCTCCAATGTACGATGGAGAGCACATCTACCGGGGAGAGCAAGGGACTGGGCACTAAAACTCCTGGGTCCTATTCCCTGTACTGCAGCTGAGGGTATGACCTTGGGAAGTCACGCCCCTCCTCTGTGCCTCAATTTCCCCTCTAAAATGGGAGATCATGTTGACTTGCCTCTGGGGATTGTGGGAGTTGATTACTATTTGTGAAATGCTTGGAGATCCCTGAAGGAAAGATGCTATATTAGTGCCAAGGGTTATTTATGATCCTAAACATGCTCCGCTCACTACTGGGTCAGGGAGGGCAGGCTGTGCCCCACCTGCTGTTTGAGGTGCAGTCCCAAAGAGCCCTTCCAGGCCTGTGTCTGTCTCAGGTACATATATGGCTCTCCTCAGCAGCCCCCATGCAGGGCCTCACAGGTGTGCCCAGGGTGTTGTGCCAAAGGAGGGAATTTGATAGGTGTTGCATAGCCCTCCCTGGTGTGAAGAAGTGTGTGCCAGGACATAGGAAGAGGCCCAGCTTTACCCATGTGCATGCAAGTTTGTTCTTGCAGACCCAAGTCATCAATTCACAGCTAAGCAGCAGCAGGGGAAACTGAACACAGCTGCTGCCCTGCCCCAACCTGGAGCGACCAGTCTAGTGGGTGAGCTGATTACTGCAGGGACACCTCGTGGGATAGGACGTGCCAGAGGGGGCCAGTCGTTATCATTTATGTTCGTTCTGCAGAACCCACAGCACCTAGGCTCCTGGTACCACTGCAGGTTGGTCTAGAATTACTGTGCAGAGGAATGTGGCTTGAAGTCAGGCCTGAACTTGCAGCAGTTTGGCAACAGGCATCTGTTTTTAACCCTTCACTTTTGCCAGGCAGAGGCAGCTAGTCTGCTCCCATTCCACAGACGCTCTGGCTTCCCGTTTTCAGGGGGTGCTGACCCATGGGGATCGCAGGGGAGTGGTTTCACTGTAGATGTTTGGGCTCACGTAGGCAGGGAGAAGCACTGGGCAGGGCATGAACAGAACCACGGTGTGGACAGCATGAGATAATCTGTGACAACGCCTCTTAGAGACCACACTCCCTGTGGGAATTGATGCTTTTGCACCATGTCCCTGGAAATGTAGCTTTTTCTAGTTGTTCCTAGAGAAAGAAAAACATACTAGTGCCTTGATTATCAGCGGGGGGGTCATATTTCTATAGCACCTTACATCCAAGCACCTTACAAACCCCAGAAAGACAGCACCACAGAAATGCAGCCACCTCTGGGGTGTAGTGTAGCAGCTAGGAACATAGCAGTGGGAAGGATGGGATGTTTGGACCTAGGATCCTGGAGCAAGACCCCTTCTCTTCTTATGAAAACTGCCCAGGGGGATCTTTAATGTCCATGCAGACAACCCATCAGCTCCTGCTCAAACAAGTCAGCCTCACTGCCCTCCCACGGCTGGGAACAGAGCCCAGGAATCCTCGTTCCTGGTTCCCTGCTCCTTCAAGCAGCTGGACTCCACTGCCTTTGACTGAGATATTAAAAGTCGTTTAAAACAGAGTCGGGAAATCCTGGCCGTGTGTCCAGGCAGGTCTCCAGCAGGCTGGGCATGTCCCACAGATACAGAGTGCAAGGCAGATTAGGAGACAATGACTAGTCAAGAGATTGAATTTCAAACCCAACAAAGAGCCTTCAGAGAAGGCTGGACAATGGCAGATGATTCACCCACTCCTCACCCCCTCTCAGCTCCTGTTCCTGGGCAGCAGCCCTCATTGGCCAGCCCCTGTCTTTCAGTCACACTTTGATGGGAGAAGCACAAAAGCCCCAACATTAATTAACCTTTTCTGCAGACCATGAAAGCCAAGGCCCTGCTCTTCCTGTATTTCCTGAGAGGTGGGTGGGACTCCAGTGCTGGAGTCTATCTCTTTGCTTACTTAGCAAGCGCAGATCCCAGGAACTCCACATGGGATCAGCCACATGAATCATTTTCAAATGGGAGTAGGGTCTTGTGATGAAAGCGGGGAATTGTAAAGCAGGACTCTGGGGTTCTCTTCCTCATTTTACGGAGTCCAACAGGGTTCATTATTCCTTAATAGATAGCATCCATATAGCTCTTTCCATAGTCCAAAGCAGACCCTGGCTTGGGGGGCCACCGGTCAGAGGTGCTGAGCACCCACAGCTCCAGCTGAGATTAATGGGAGCTGTGGGTGCTCAGCACCGCTGACCATCAAGCCCAAGGAGGTCTCAAGCTGGGATCCCAAGAATCAGTCAATCTGGGCCTAATGACTGACAGTAGCGTGTCCTCTCACTGCCAGCCTTTGACCCCATCAGCTGACACCCCCCGTCTGTCAGAGACCATCAGTACAAGAACCGGAAAGGGGACAAGGGCAGTGGGCTGTGCTGAAAGGTGAACGATCAGACTGGAGGGGGATTACTGGGGCAGTTCCCCAAGGAACAGTGTTGAGATTGAGCTGATTCAATCAATATTTGTATCAATGGCCTCGGCACAAGAAGTGGGCCCGTGCTAACGAAGTTTGCTGATCATCCCACGGTGGGAGGATCAGAATATTGCAGTGGGAAGTCTGGAGGGTCGGAGGGGGAGGGGGAAGGCAGAAATGGGACGCAATTCAATAGTACAAAGCGCAAGGTCAGGCACTTAGGGCCTAACTGTAAGAATTGCTGCTACAAGCTGGGGGCTCGTCAGCGGGAAGTGACAGTGGAGGGGTGTGGGTGTAAAGGGGCTCACTCACCACCAGAGCGGCTCCTTGGGGCCAGGTGTGGCATAGCAGCTGCCTCGCTGTACGGCACCCCCGCTGACCATCACTCCGGTGGTCTCTCTTCCCACAACTTGGCCCTTTGTAGATCACACTTCAGTCTAACAAAGAATCCAAGCAAGCTCTAGTCCAATGACCTTACAGCACGTCCTGCCTCTGTCTCATGGGTCTCACACCCCATACCACCATGGGTTTCACCCCACGTTCCTCAGAGGCTGGCAGGGGAACTCAGGCCCTCCCTCTACGCTGGTGTCCAGCCCAGGGACCCTGTAGCTGGCAGTTAAAGTCTCCTCCCTCTGACTCCTTGGTGCCTCCCTAGGCTGCTTCCCATCTCTTCTGTTCCCCACAGAGTGACTGTAACCCCTGTCTTTGTCTTTGGCTGATTTTTGATGCAGCAGCCTCATCATACAGCTCCTTCTTATTGCAAACTTCCTGGCTTTATAATGACTATGACCCAGCCCCTCCCCAGCTGGGCTTCACCATCAATTAACTGCTCTCTCCAACCAGGTATGTTAATTGGCCTCTCAGGCCCCCATTAGCCCCTTCAGGGTACACACCCCATCACAGGGTCAATCCCAGGATGACTGAGCCACCAGTGTGAGGGGCTGTGAAAAAGGCAAATGTGATGTGAGGCTGTATCAGGTGAGGCATTTCCAGTAGAGCTAGAAAAGTATTAATACCATTGCACAAGGACTGGTGAGACCTCATCTGGAGTCCTGCACACAGTTCTGATCACCCATGCTCAAGAAAGAAGAATTTAAACTAGAACAGGTGTGAAGAAGAGCTTCACGGATGATGAGGGGAATGGAGGGCCTGTCTTATGAGAGGAGCCTTCTTCTGCAGAGTGTGGATGTGGGTCATTGCCAGGATTATCTGTGTGTATCCCATTTCCCTGCCATTGCAGAGGCCTTGGGCACTGCTGCACTTCAGTCCCTCCTGTTCTCTGCCTGTGGCATGTAATAGTCTATTTTCCTGAGGGCTGTAATACCTTGGTCTCATTTCAGTTGTTGGGTTCATTGTGCAGGTGCTGGATGGTGCTGGTGGCCTGTCACGTACAGGAGGTCAGAGTAGATGATCTGGTGGTTCCTTCTGGCCTTAAACTCTGACTCTTGCAGTACTTTTATTAACCTCCAACAGCCTGCGCAGTGTCCAGGGGGGCTGAAAGCCAGGAGTTTAGCTCACCTGTCTGTACTCACGAACACTGTGAATTGCCTTTATTGCATCACAGACAGCCACCCTGGGCCAATGGGGGCGGCTGGGCCTGGCTGGAAGCTTATGGGAAGAGTCAGTTCTTAATCTGCAATGTCTCCTGTCTAACCTTTCGCTGGCTCAGCATGTCTGATCAGGATCACGCCCCAGGCACTGCTGGTTAAAGAGAAGCCCTGAGTGCTCTTTTGAAAGAAGATGACATAAATAAAATTTCCACTAGCTACAACTAGCATCTCATTACATGTAGTGCAAGCCCAATATAGTCATAGTTACCTGGAGCCTTTCAATAATGAATTTCCAGAAAACCAGAAGAACCTGAGCTGGATTTCCCAAGCCAGCTGGGGCTGGAGTCTGGGCATATCTGCTGGGAGGAGAAGCAGAGCCAGATACAGGAATGGGCTGTGAGAGGAGATTATGAACTGGTCTCTGTGCCCCTGACGATATGATACATCCCCTGGTCTGGCTTCTGTGGCCATTAGAGGTGTGTCTACACTAGCCTTTTTCCTTACAATCTCCTTGCACTCTCACAGCACCCATGCAGCGCCACCAGGGGCAGCCAGAGAGAGCGCTAATGTTTGAAGCCCTGTACTAGGTAACTCTGTTTGGAGCAGGTCCAGGCGACACATGAAGATGTCGGCACCTTGCCCTCAGTAACGCCCCCAAAGGTGTAGCTGCACCAGTGTTAGCAAGGAGGGGAAATGTCAGGGTGACAAGGTCAGCGTAGAAGGCCTGGGCTTCACCTACAACTTAGGTCAGGCTAGCTACATCGCTCAGAGTTGTGAACAATTTCAACCTCCCCCCCAGTGTAGTCGCAGCTTGGTCAAGGAAAGAATTCTTCAGTTGACCTAGCTACAGTGGATTTACTAGAGTGAGGGAGAAACCCTTCCTTCGCTGTAGTGTCTACACTGTAGTGCTACAGTGGCGCAGCTGCAGCCCTGCGGCTCTTTGCTGTTGTAGTGTCGCATACCCTGAGGATTGGCCTCTCCCCAGCCCTTGGAGGAGGAGAACTGTGCTCCCGTTGGCTCCCCTGGGATGTCCAGATTTGGAAAGAAAGAGAGTTCCCCGGGCCCTAGCAGGCTACACGGGAGAGGAGAGGATGTTGAAGAGGTAGGCGCCCCCCCTGGTGGAATTGTGTGGCTCTTACACTGATGATAAAACCCAGTATATCCGTTTAAATGCAGCTTCCACCTATGGGGATTTTTTTCAAAAGACAATTCAAGCCCTCCACCCACCTGCACAGCAGCATGGTGGAGGGGATGACACAGACATCTCAACTTCCCCAAAACCACAGCTTCCAATGCTGCCTTTGTTCGCTTGGCACTATCCCTCCCAGGCAGATCCTAAACTAGCTTCCAGGCTCTTTAACGTGTGGGGGTCTTTGGGACAAGATTTTACAAACTGAAGTCCCAGCTGCCTTTGGCAGCTTTTACAGGAGAAGGGATTTATCCCAACACCCCCTTCCATCTGCATTGTGCTGGGTGCTGTTTGGCCCTGTATACATGAAAAATGAATGTTACTGGAAATAGGCAAATATAAATTCAGGTTTGCAACAGAAGTATAAATACCAAATGAAAATACGGGCTTGCTTTGAAATCCCACACCGAGCTGCTTGCATGAAAGTGAGACAATGAGCAAAACAGTCAAACAAGTTCCTGTTTGGAGTAGATTGGCAATTCCAGCCTTGACACTCCTGAGTCCTAGACTGTCCCAGGGACCAAAGCCAGAGCTGTCGCATAGGGAAGAGGAGCCTCTTTACAGTTAATAAAACAACTGATGCATGTTAAATAACCCAGTGGAATTCTTTCCTGAGGCTGAGCCCCTGAATCCTGCACTAGGGTCAATGTCTACTGGATGCAGCGCTCTCCTCCGCCTTGTGTGCTCGTTCATCAATGATCATTTTATCAGCACCGGATAAATGGATGCACTTTGGGGAAGCTTCATTTAAAGCATCAGCCAGGACATTTCACTCCTCAACGCTGTTCTCCAGGCTCACTTCTTTGGGTGGGGGGGGACACCCTGCTTCCATGGACAGGGTTATTGGCAGCTGGAGCGAGGAGTCACCGAGGGTCTGATCTGATTAGGGTTGCCAAGTTTGGTTGGACGTATTCCTGGAGGTTTCATCACCTGACATGATCTTTAATCAAAGATTCATCTCTAATTCCTGGAGACTCTCCTGGACAATCCTGGAGGGTTGGCAACCCTAGATCGGATGCTTATCCCCTTCCCCTGCCCTGCCCCAGGCGCCACAGGGCTGTCACTAGGGGATCCAGCTGAATCATGTGCATAGACAACAGGGACTTGAGGGGGCTAAAAACCAAAACCGATTTTGGGATTGCATTAGTAACTAAAGGAAACACTGTGTGTGGAACAGAAGTTCCTTTATCTCACTTCGTTAAAAATGAACAAATTTAATCTGGTACAAAGCTGCTCATTGGAGCGCTATTTAAGAGCTATTAGTATATTAATTTTTTAACTCTAGCCCCCAAATAAAAAAGTTAGCTACACCTAGGGTGACCAGATGTCCCCATTTTATAGGGACAGTACAGATTTTTGGGTCTTTTTCTTATATAGGCTCCTATTACCCCCCACCTCCTATCCTGGTTTTTCACATTTGCTGCCAGGTCACCTTATCTACACCCCTGTGCATGATCAGGGCCTAAGTTTGTTGCTTTTCTGCTCTCGGCAAGGAGCTGCCGCTCTGTTAGTCACAAATTCTACCACTAGAGGGAGAAGAGCCGCCATCTCCAGCTCATAATGAACTTTCCAGCGTGACGAACAGGGTGTGTTTTCTCATTCTGTAATCAGCCAGCGGGCCAGGAGATTGGGAAATTGACACAGAGCCCTGCCCCACCACATCACAGCTCAGCAGTATAACTAGCTATTTATTTACTTCTGGCACGGGCCACCATACACTGGATTCTTTAAAGGCAGAACCCTTGCTCCAAAGAGCGTGCTGTCTAAAGACAGACCGGCCGATGGACAGGCCTTGGGAAGGCATATATATGGTTATGGTAACAAATATGTCTGTGTATTTTCGAGCAGGTGCATAAGCTGGGGTTGGACTAGATACCTCCTGAGGTCCCTTCCAACCCTGATATTCTATGATAAGCTCTTCTCAGGTCATTCCTCCAGCTTGTCATTCCTAGCAGCAAATTGGGTGGAGGGAAGTAGTGGCCTCTCCCGTGCGCACAGGGAGAACGTTCTACTCACAGAGGCAGCATGGTAGGAAGCCCAGAGATGTCGGGGTGAGAAGCTGACCTGGGCTGTGAGGCAAAAATGGTTCCAAACCAGGCCTGCAGTGACTGAAAACCACGACACGGCTCCTTGGTGTCTGGTGAGAAATAAAATTGGTAGGTGCAATCAGGGCCGGCTCCAGCATTTCTGCCGCCCCAAGCAATCGCGATCGGCGGCAGCAATTGGAAAAAAAAAAAAAAAGCCGCGATCGGCGGCGGCAGTTCGGCGGCAGGTCCCTCGCTCCTAGAGGGAGTGAGGGACCTGCCACCCCTGAATTGCCGCAGGTGCCGCCCCTCTCTCTTGGCCGCCCCAAGCACCTGCTTGTTAAGCTGGTGCCTGGAGCCGGCCCTGGGTGCAATCCAGTCCCTAGTGGCTTCCCTAACACAAAAGCACCATCGCAGCTGGCACCCAGCCGCTGGCTGTTGCGTTTCTTGCAGCCTGTCTAGTGGTTATGTTTGTTGCTGTCACTTTGCTAAATTAACTGAAACATTTTGAACTTAACTCAGAAAATATTGTTTAAAAACGATGGGAGACTCTGAAAGCAAATCTGCTGGGGCCAGGTTGTGTGTGCTCCTCTCTCCAGGACACGCTCTGGGCTGGCCTGAGAGTCACCGAGGTCCTTGCAGCACAGCAGCCCCCTCGCGTTCTCAGTGACGCTCGGAAATGTAGCCATCTCGAGCCTCCGCACTTCCTGGCAGGGGGTTGTTTTATCATAGACATTTGCTGTCTCTCTGAGCCGCTTGCATGTTATGCTGGAAACAGTGAGTCTCCTCCGTGCGCCGCTGAACCGATTGTTAGATGCAATTCTGGGAAACAATCCCAGGCCTCTTTCTCATAAACAGAAACTTGAAAGCGCCTGGGTTCTTTCTTTTTGCAGAGCCAGACTGGGTGATGCCAATCTGATTGGAAAGGACAGAAAAGAGAGCGAGTTGGGGGAACGCCAGGATGAAGCTAGAGCTTGCCCTGCCTGTTTTGGGGCTCCTGCTCTGTGCGGGTGAGTACAGCTGGCTAGAGACCACCAGGTATCAGAAGAGTGACCCCCAAGGGCTCAGGCAAGGAGGGTATTGGCGTGTGCCGGTGGACATTGCGGAGCACCGGCAGCCAGGTGTTCTTACACAGCCACAAAGACTTACAGTAAAACTGAAGTTGCCGTTTGCTGATGAGAAATGTACCCCACTAGCAGTGACGTGAGGGGCAGCGGAGCAGGACTCACCCCCTGCAGAATCAGAGCAGTCGAGGGAGAGGGAATTGAGGCACTTCCGTCTATATTCTCTTTTAAAAGAGAAGTCAGTTGCTGAAAAGATCCTTGTTATTTATCAGCAAATCCAGTAAACTCCAAAGCCCTCACCAATGGTCTGAACAGGCTGGTGAAGGGTACGGGAGGGGCAGTGCTTTGGGCAGCAGAGTGCTCTGGAACCTGGACTCCCCCGTCCTACTTGCTGTTATATTAAATCGCCATGTGCTCTTGGGTCCGTCGCTCAGCTTCACAATGGGTAAAGCAGGGATAATAGCATCCCCTGAACTGATTAGTGTTTGCAAAGGCAACCAGATGAAAGGCAAAAGTATGTGGCAACCTAGATCGATATGCCCATAGGGAAATGGGCAAAAGAAATTTAAAAATAAACTCTGCAGCCACTCTGCCCGTGAGCGGCAAATGCCAGTTGCTGGCTTTGATGTGATCTGAAAGAGTTCAGGTTCTCTCTGGCCCTGATCGGTTTGTGTTACTGCACCTGTATTTATTCCCTCTGTCTAAAACAAAGTTCTGTGCCGGGATAAAACAGCTGATCACCTTGGGGACTGTTATAGGACTGGAAATATCCCCTATCAATTCACT